TCTCTCCAGCCTCTTGTTGACACATTTTAAAGTAAAACAGTGTCTTACCAACACACTACTGCCGCTAGTTCACTAGGCTGCAGAATACTATAGTCTTGTTAGCTTGTATCAGCTAATTCCTCTCAGTGCCATGCCTGGCACTTTAAGTCAAGGTGTCAGCATGACTGGTGGCCTCTGTCCTTGGCTATGAGGCTGTCTTCTTTCTGAAGCCCCTCTGTGTGTGTCTGACCTCTTCTTAGAAGGACATTAGTCATGCTGGGTTAGGACCTACCCTGAGTAGCTTATTTACATCTTTGAAGGTCCTGTCCCCAGGTGTTGTATTCTGAGATCTTGGTATTTGGGGAACACAGTTCACTCCTTTACACCTCCCAGTTTGTTTTTAGGTTTTGTTTTTTGTTTGTTGTGGGACAAAGTCTTCGTAATGTAGCTCTGTCTATCTTAGAACTCACTTTGTAGACCAGGCTGTCCTCAGACTCACAGAGCTCTGTCTGCCTCTGCCTCCCAAGTGCTGAAATTAAAGACATGCTCTACCACCACCTTGCTACCTTAGTGTTTTATCCGAATCTCTCAGAAAGGACATTTTCTTACATTACCACTCTAATTTCCTAACACTAACCTGTGTTCAGGTTGCCTATACTGTCTCAGGCAGGCTTCTTGGTGCAGGCAGCTGTGGCTGTGGCACTGTAAGGTTGGTCCACCTTGAACAGCAGTTCCTGCTTCCTGCTTGTGATTATGGGTAGGTTGACCACAGCCCACCTTTGTTACACAGGGAGGGTTTGGGCTGGAAGATCCCTGGCTTCCCATGAGGGTTGGAGAGCCAGAGGTAGGGAGTGTAGAAGTAACTGTGGTCAGTACCTGCCCGGTGGGCAAGGCTTTGTACTCCTGGGGAGTTGTCCAGTGGCCTGGAGTATCCTGATACCAGGCTCTGGTGTCATCATGCCTGCTTGAGCCTGTCTGCCCTTCAAAACACTGAAGCTGAGGCACAAGACAAAGTACCACTATGGGGACAGGCATTTATGCCAATCCCTGTCTGTATCAAAGTTGTCACACGCCTTGTGTCCCCTCTGCTGGCTGACATTGCTGACCCTTGTATGCCCTGGGAGTCCTAGCAGGACAAGGAAGGCTCTAGCCTCTCCACAATGCAGCCAGCAGGTCTGAAATGGGAGTATAGTGAGAAAGAGATGAACTTAAATACTGCAGGATGTTCCTGGCAGGAGACTTCAGTGTGGAATGTGATGGAGAGTTGTTGGCCTGAGGGAGGAGGGGGAGTTCGTGTATGCAGCCTTGTTTCTCATTCCTCCCCACTCACAAGATGTTTTCCTTTCATTACTTCAGTAATTGAGCTGAAAGCTGAGGACCGGAGCAAGTTCCTGGATGCTCTTGTGTCTCTGCTGTCCTGAGGGTAAGCTTGGGGTGGGAGTAGGGGAGTCCTTGGACCTCAGGCCCAACTCCTGCTTTGTCTCCTTCAACAGAGACTTTTACTTGTGTTGCAGATCAGAGCAGGGTCTGGAGATTTTTCCCAGGAATGTCTGTCCTAAGTTTTCTAGCAAGGCCACAATGGAGTGCTTCTGAGAAAGCTTGATTTCATTAACCTCAGAATAACCTCAGATTTTCTCTTTAGTGCCCACACTATGGGGCATAATGTGTGACATACAGATTATCCAGTGCTAGCCCCAGGGGCCATCCAGAGTTTCTTACAGCCATAGCCACAAGCCCCAGACTGGAGCCCACACAAGTGGCACTCTGAGCTTTTATAAGACAGCAAGCTGTTGGTAACTGCCCAGCTACAAATGACAAGATGTTGACTGTGCATGAGCCTTCCGCTGTGGACAGCTATCCTGAGAGGCCTACTGTATGTCATCTCCTGAATAAAGCCCTTGCTGTTCTCACATATGATTCTACTTTTTGAGGGACTACATGGAAAATGAGTAGGGCTTTCCCCCCATGCTGTTTGGCATGGCAGCCTTTCCAAGGCTCTGACACAGGAACATCTCAGTCTGGGGCTGCCCTATCCTTGTTAAACCCTGAGCTGTAGGACCAGAATGGTCTAATAGGTCTTAGGAACTCCATTCAATCAGGGTAACCTAAGCGTTCAGGGCCATATTAAGGAAGGTGTTTAGACTGGACCAGGAAATCCTTAGTCAGAGTAGCAGTGACCTTGGGCTATGTAATTAATCTGACTCCAAAAAGGAACCAACGGCACCCTTAGCCCACAGGTGGCAAGTGTGTCCTTGGCTTGTGGGGAACAGTGTGTGCCAGGGCTGACTGGAGGCAGATCTCTCTCCTGCACTGTGTCAACAGCACTGCTGTATGTATGTGGTCATCCAGCAGGGGTGTAATTGGCAGGGGAAGGGCAAGATACTGCTACATGATGGGGAAAGCAGTGGAGACTAGCCAGGCAGGGGAAGTGGCTAGGCAAGGTCTACCAGGTGAGAAGGGTTTGGGTACTTTCATGGGGACAGTTGAGACTCTGTAGGGGGTATGGAAGGACAGTGATTACCTCAGCAGATCTGGGTGGCCTTCTACTCCACACTCACCTTCACCCTCGTGTGAAGGCTGATTGAAAGCAGCAGCCTCCCACATAGTGGGGAGGGTCTTGTTTCAGTCTGTTCGATGCTTGGGAAGAAAGGAAGAATTGTGTGAAACCCTTTTTTTTCTTCTTCTTCCAGAATTTGATTTCTCCAGAAGTGACCTCCTTTTCCTTATTTATATCACCTGGCCTCTATTAGATTGCAAGATACATTTGAAGTGTGGGACTATGTGGTTTTTATAAAATAAAATGTTTGTCTAGGGTTTCATCCCATTTGTGCCTATGATCTTCTTCGGTCAGTACTTGCAAGTATTCTGAGCCTTCTTGGGATCCAGGGCAAACTTGTTCCTGTGTGCTGGCATTCTCTATGCCAGACAGAAAGTCAGAGACTTCTCTACTCAGCCCCTAGAACAAGGGCTCCCCTATCTGATCTCCTGGCCTCCTGATGGTGATGGGGCTGGGCTGGCCTTTCAGTACCACGTGTCTTCACAACCAGTACTGCGGCCCACTAGTTGTGGAAGGACTGGACCCTGCCTACCAGACTGTAGTTGTGTTACCCTCTTGGACACCCCTCCACCATGGCCTTCAGCTTACCATACAGGGCCTGCTCAGATGCCTTGTCCCCGCAGGCATGCAGGGTCACACTGCTTTGCAAATGGGAAACTATCAGAGGGAAGGCCTCAGATCAAGGAGGGATAACTGCTGAGTGGTACCTGAAGAGAAACACTCTCCTAGGCTTGTGTCAACATTGCACACACCTTCTTAGAATGGTAGAGCCAACTTTTGTCATTCCTGGAGAGACTGGAAAGTGAAGAGATGCTGGTTACTGCCTGAGGACATAGGTCCTGGAGAAGCAGACAGGTAAGAAGAGATAGCCACTTGTGAGCAGGCGTCTGAGCTGCTAAGGAAGGCAGCATGGCACACAGTCCTAGAAGGAGGAGTTTAGGCAGGTTTCTCTCAACTTTTTTTTCAGTTTTGATTTTGAGATAGGATCTCATTATGTAGCCTAAGTCATCTCCCTCTTACTCCAAGTACTGATGGTAATTTTAAGTCAATGGCCAGAAGCACACAAAGTGGCCTAGAAGAGGGGCCCCAAATGATCAGGCGGCTCTTAGGGAAATGAGGGAGTTCGACGGGTGGGAGTTTGATGGAGACTGGCTCCTCTCTCCTGACCACTGGTAGTGCCACCAGATACTTTGACATAGCTGTCCTCGCCATTTGAAAACCTCAGGTGGGGCAGCTCCCTTCCCATACTGTGTCCTGGGTAAAGACCACTGCTGGAAGAGTACACCACCAGCCAAGTGTGCCAGCTAGGGCACAGGGCTAGCTCTAGGATCACATGTCCCCAAGCTTGGGGCTGCCTTTGACCCCTCCCGCACATGCACTGTTAGGCTAAGTTCAGCTTGGTGCAGTGAGGTTTCCACCAGTGGCAAAGGCCACTGGAAAGAAAGTCAGCCTCCCATAAGTCTTACCTTTGCCTTCTCTGTTCCCAATTCCAGAATCTCTCTGGAGCCTTTTTCTGAGCTCATATCCTTAGGATTAACCCCTTTCTCCCTTCGAGGAACCTAGCCAAGCCCGAAAGACTTAGTAATGGATGTGGCCCAAGCATTTCTGAACAAACTTCTGGATGCCAGAAACCAAGCAAGCCTTCCTGCTGTCGGGCTTTGTGTGCCTCATTGCAGCCCCTCCATCTCCTACTCCTTTTCCTGGTCTTTTAGTAAAATTGTCCAAGTAGGGAGAAACAAGCTCTGTGGCTGATGGCTTTACTTGCCTTTCTCTGCTAGGGTCTTATACCAAACCCTGGCCCTTCACCCTCTTTCCCCCCAGAATAGTCACACCCCAGGTTCCCTGTAGTTGTCAACGCAGTTCCATTACCAACAGCATGGATACAGAGCCTCGACCCTGTGTAGAGCCACTAACCAGAGGAGCAAGGACAAAGCAGTAGTGGGACCCAGGTTATCTGAGCAAGTAAGTGCTCTCCTTTTGTTTAACAGTTATGCACTGCAGTCAGAGCTGAGGACCTATGACACCCTTGATTCACCCTGGCTCCCACATGAGGGAAGTGCCTGGTCTGACTGTTCAGTTGTCTGTGGTGGCTTCATGGTACTTGGAGCTGAAGTGCATAGTACTTGCTGGACAAGCACTGGGAGGAAATTCTTTAGGGGCTTGTTGGGAGAAGCTAGCAGCCTAGCTACGTACTCTCACACTTCCCACTACCCAAGCCCATCCCCATGAAGTGAGATTCCAGCTGAGCTCTCTCCTGGACTCAGCTTCTGCACATATATCCCAGCCTGACTCCAGCTAGGATTTTCTGGCCACCATCTTGACTTAATGCAAGTGTAACCACATCTTCCAGTTGAGGCCTGGAGACATCCCTGTAGGAGACTTAGAGAAGGTTGGTGGATGATTGGATGAATAGCGGTACTGGACACGGAGTGGCTAGCTGGACAGAGGACATGACACGGTAGAGTGTTCAAACTATTTACTAAGCAAATAATTGCCCGGCCCACCCCACCCCCAAGCTCCGAGGAGGGCAGCCCCTCTAAGGCTTTGGTACCCACAGCCCCCCACCACTACCATTGGAGGAGTGCTGGAGTGAGAGGTCCAGGTCAAATCCTTTGGTCCACTGGGCTCTCCACTAAAAAGGAAAATGCCCTTTATAACACATCCCTCTAGCAGCTTAGGCTGTGAGCCTGGGGTACTCCAGCTGCTCTTTCAGGTTAGCAGGAGCAACTGGACATTAAGGCAGCATCCAGAACTCCCCAGAGTTTCAATAGGAACTGCAGCTGCAGTTTGGTGCCAGCTTCACCTATTAAATCCAAGAGCCCCACCAAAGCCGCGGCCAACTGCATAGAAAAGGAGGTCAAGTCCTCACAAATGCCTATAGTCTGTTCTGAGCCGGGCCTGGCTGGTGACGGTCAGCGACCCTCTGTGGGCACGTTAAAGTCTGGCCTCTGGCCGGAATCCAGCCTGACTTGCCTCGGAGTCTGCGCCGCGCAATCCAGCAGTGGTTGCCATCCACGTGCGGTCCTTCCGATCACGGGCTTGACTGCGGGAAGGGCCCCGCCGTGCCTCCCACCCTTAGACATAGTTCTTCTTGTCGTATTCGCTGTTGGCCGTGGGCCGCCGGGGTGCCGAGTACTTGACCGGGAAGCTAAACTCCGGGCGGCCGGAGCAGACCCAGGCGCCGCAGCACACAAGGCCGCCGCCGCACATGAGCAGAGCGGAGGCCGCCCATCCGATGTACAGCGCCGCGCCCAGCTCGTACTTCTGAGACACGGGCACTGCTGGATCGTAGAACTCGCGCACCACGATGTTGGCGAACCAGCAGAGCGGCACGAGCGCCAGCAGCCCGCACAGCGCAAAAAGCGCTCCGCCGGTGAGGGCCACACGCGCCTTCACTGGACCTGGGGCCACGCAGGTGGTGCACTGCGCGCCGGTCAAGGTAACAAAGAGTGCCACCAGCGCCAGCAGTACAGCGCCCACGGTGAGCGCCCGAGCTGCCTGCACCTCGGCACTCAGCGCCAGCACAGACTCATACACCTTGCACTGCATGTGCCCCGTGCTCTGCACCACGCACGACATCCACAGCCCCTTCCAAGTCGTCTGCGCTGTCACGATGTTGTGGTCCAGGAAGGCAGTCACCTGCCACATAGGCAACCCACACGCCAGAATCAAGCCCACCCAACCTACCAGGCATAACACCAGACCCAGAATTTCCAACGCTGCGGACCCCATGGCTAAAGACCGAATGCACGCCCTACGGCCCTTGGGGCCTCCTGGTGCGCTCGGCGCGGCTTGGGCTGTGCTCTCCACTAGTTCTGTTGCCTCTGCTCCAGACCTTTCTGAAGTGGACCAAAAGGGAGTATCACCACCACCAACTCAATTCTTCAGGGCCTGTTGGGGATTTATTTGAAGTCTCGGGGGCGGACTCTGCCCCCAAGGGGCAGCCCCCGAGCTAGGCCAGCCAATCCATGAGCAGACCTTCAGCCTACACCCAATCGCAGACCCCCCTGGCAGTTACAGTTAAAGAAACCTGCTTGCCCCTACTGCTCCCAGCTCGGCAGCAGTCTAAGACCCTACCAGTTTCTGTCCAAGTCTGGACTGACCTGCGTGCCGGGTCCCTCAACTTTAGCTGCATGACCTCTAGCCTACACTGACCAATTCCACCCGCTACATCCCGTTTCATTCCAACCCCTCCTTGCAAAGGCTTGGCATGGAGGTTCTCGGAGACCCTGTGCACAGGTGAAACAAACCTCTACACTGTCCCTCGGCACACCAAGCAGAGATGCTAGACAAACCTGTGTTGGTCATGCCCTTGACTATAACCTCATCCAAGCCCCTGCTCAACCACTGCCTATACTCCTTCCCTAGGAACTCCAGCCTGACACAAAGTGGGTGATGGAAGGGCTGGCTATCTTCTGTGATGCTGCCTCCATCATTTATGTATGGTCCAGTGTGTCAGGCAGCACAACTCAGTCCCCAGTCTTCACCAGCACATAGACTGTAATCCCAGCACAGCAGAGACATAGAGGGCCATAAAGAGGCTGTGTCTTGGAGTCCTACAAGCAGTCCTGGTGCTTTGCCACCCCAGCCCCCAGGCCACCCTCCGGAAGCCAACTTGGAGTTTCCTGGCCAGGAGGAAGAGCCCCATCCTCGCTGGAGGAGGGAGCCGCGGGATTTCCGGGCATTCTTCTGCACAATGGCCCAGCCATTTCTTGAAAGGGCCACTGTATTGGACGCTCTGGGTCCCTGAGGCTCAGGTGGGGGGCACCCGGCCCCACAGCCCACACCCCATCTAGGGTACCAGCCTCTTTGCAGCATTTGCCTTCCCATTCCCTTTGTTCCAGTTATCCCTAGACTCCGGATGGGCTCTTTTTGTCATTGTTGTGTTTGGGGTTTTGTTTTGTTGTTTTCCTCTGTTCGAAAGAACTTGGGGCCTCTATAGAAAAAGGATGACATTGTTGAGACTAGTCACAGACGTGGGGATTTTTGGGTAAATCTCTCCCTTCTGGGCCCCAGCTTCCTTCCAGAGATGCCTCTGAATAAGAGGTCAATGGGGCCAGAGCAGTACTTGCTTCACTCTCCATGGAAAGGTACTTAGAACAAGGTGCCAGGTCTTGGGGTAGGGAGAGCCTCGCACACACACACCCTTCCTGTCCCCCAAGCAACTCTCTTGATATGTAGGAATAGCTCCTTCCAGATACCATATAATCTGCTGCCTTCCACTTTCTAAAAACCATCCCTGCCTTTCAGTGAGTGTAAACTCCAAGACTCAGCCTATTGATCCCACTCCTCTATTCCAGGCCAGGGAAATACATTTTGCCAGCCCCTTTCCTTCAAGTTCCATGCCATCTTCCTGGAGCAACTTCGGAAGCCTCTTCTGACTGCCCAGCAAGGCAGCTTCTGCAGTCCCTCACATATATTCCTGTATGGCTCTCATTGCCCATTGACAAAGACCTGGATCTTGGGAGCAGCCTAGACTTAGGTGATTGTCAATGGTAGGGACTAGCAATGTGGCCATGAGCATATGCTATACACATTGACCAGATACACCTTCCTCTGGATCTTAAACTAGTCTTCCTGCTGCTGGTGGCTTCTCTGTCTGTGTGTCTTGCAGTTCTGCAAGGTTGCACTAATGGGCATGTTTGAGTACACCTGTCTATATTCAGGCTCCAGAAGGTTCAAGCCAGAATAGCTTTTTGCTTTTCGGCTTTCCTACCAGTGAATCTCAACAAAGTGATCATTGCCAATCATTTGTCCCAGACAAGAAGCAGCTTGCTGCTTCCAGCTAACTGGGGGATGCAAACAGCAGGGCGTTCTCCCCTCCCTTCTGCCAGCCCTCCTCTCTACCATTTTGGTAGTGTACCTAGACTGGCACCCAGGGTGGTATCAACAACCTTTGGTAACAGCCTCACAGTATCTCTAGGAGTTGGTAGTGGAACCTCAGATATCAGATTCCCCAGCATGCAACGAGGCCAGTACAACTCCATAAAAGTGCAGCTAGGGCTCACATTGCTTCTTCAAGCCTCCTCCAAGACTGAAGGTAGTCCAAGCAACCCATCCCAGACCCAAGAAAAAGTGTTACATTGGTCAGTGTCTCCACCAGAGCACATAGCATAGGGCACTTTATAAGCCACCAAATGAAGCTCTGGTAGGAAGGAAAGCAGCAAAGGGCTCCTAAAGAGGAGCCATCTCAGCAGGATTCCTAGAAGAATTTTCCAGGGAGCAGATGTAAAGATCCTGGTGTTCATGTGCATTTGGGGCTAGGCAAGGTAGTTCAAGGGCAAAGCATTTGCTTATCAAGTTCCACCACTAACCAAATAAAATAAAACTAAATAAATTGCCCTAGAGGTGGGACAAGGTTCTGAATGAATCTGATCCTAGGGCAGGCAAAAGTCAGCATGGAGTGCAGCAGGGAGCCAGGGCCAAGGCCAGAGAGTCTGGGATTGTGTGGGGACATGAATCCCAATCTCTGGTAGGGGGATTGCCTGGCGGGCCACCTGTTCCTGCATCGCTATTGTTCTGCTTTCCCAGGGGAAGTGGCACAGGATCCCATTAATTGTGTGAGAGAAAGGCCTGAGTCTGCAGAAAAGCAAAGTTTATCTCCAGCAGCTGCTGGCTGACCCTGCCCTGAGGGGATCCGTTGGCCTTCCATGGACAATCTAATTTTAGGCTCCATGTTCCTGGGGCTTGGATTTGAGAAGCAAACAGGCTTCATTTCAAAGGGAGTGAAAAGCCAGTCTTTCTTCTATCTTTCAGGTTTCTGGTGCAGGATGTTTCCTCCTAGTCCAGCAGATGTTTACAGAACCGCTAAATTCTTCTTGTCCAGAACCATTTCTTGGTGGAAGCCAAGAGCCTGGGCTCTTACTGGCCCAAAGGCAGCATCTTGAGACCTCCCATGTCACTAGCCATTGGGCTGGGAACCCAGGGTGGCCTGGGTAGGTGAGCAGGGGCCTCTCCTGTCTATTCTCAGTTGTTGGCATGGGTGTTTTCTGTGACCCAGAGCAGGCCTGGAGTTAGATTCACCCCTAGATTTTGAACTACTGCCTTGGTTTCTCTGTGCCTCCTTTTCTCCAATCACAGTGCAGCCACTGCCTCAGGTTACAGACTTAAAGAAGAAGCTAATCATTACCTGGAGGCCCCCCAGTGCTATTTTGGTAGCCTGAGAGGGGCTTGAAGTCACTCACTGGTTCAGTTGACCTTCAAAGTTCATTGAACCTCAGGCCCAGATAAGTGTCAAGTAGCCATCAACATCAGAGGCCACTGCGGTTTTAGTATCTTAATGAGCAGGAAAGTTTTGAGAGGGTGGGTAGGGAGCTTCATATGGCAGAGCTCTGGGGTCCTGTAGACTCATTGTCCCTTCAAGACCCATGCTGGATGTAGTCTCCATGCAGTCCAGCCTGACCGCTCCCTAAACCCCAGGATAACAGAGGCTCTAGGATGCAGACTCACCATCTGCTCTCTCCACCCCTCACCCACTTCAGCTCTCCAGCATCTAGCACCTCCTTGACCTCTATCCTTTGCCACGCACACCACTACACGACTTTATACCTTTGTCTATTTGAAATTGTAAGGATGGAAAAATTTAGCCTAATTTTCCCTAGACTCTGCCCCCTAGCAGTGAGTAGGCAAAAGGTCATTCTTGACTGTTTTACGACAGGGTGGGTTACTGACAGCACCTGTGAGTGAATGTGAACAGGAAATGAGCTGTGCCACACTACCCAAAAGCCCTAGCAAAAGCAGACTTCCTGGGCTAAGCATGGGCTTGTCACACTACCCAGGAGCCCTAGCGAAAGCAGACTTCCTGGGCAAAGTACGGGCTTGGATAATTCAAATTGATTGGTCCACACTGGATGCTATGAGATGATCGGTTTGTAATGCGAGGGCTTTGTTGTAACCCTATAAAAGCTGTCTGAACCCTGTACCAAGGGTTCCCAGTCCTTTACCCCACGTGGAGTATGGTTGTGGACCCCAGTGCACTGGAATATAAAAGACCTCATGCTTTTGCATCAAGACCACTTCTTGTGAGTGATTTGGGGGGGGCGCCTTTCCTGAGTTGGGGTGTGAGGGTTCGAGCTCTCCGCGGGTCTTTCAAAATCGCAGAGTCATTCTGGAGTCCCCTTTGTCACTAGGCATCAGATTGGAAACACTTCCCACTTTGTTAAAAATGCCCATATGATTAGGGTTGTTTGTGGTGTCCCCAACACGTGCAGATGGAGTATGAATGTGGCAAATTCTTCTGAAGCTCTGAGAGTCACAGATGATAATGAAATGACCATGACCCCAAAGGGTATGGAGATTAGTGGAACTCACATCCTGGTTCAGAGGGATATTGAACTAAGTGTTAGGATATCACCTAGGGACTCATTCCCCACACCCAGATTCCCAGGGCTGGTGTATAAATAGTATGATCTTTAGTCTGCAGACATTCAATCATCTCTAGGTTACTGAAAATATTTAAAACATTGCAAATGATGTATGAATAACTAGTGTACTACTTTGTTCAGAGAATCAACCATACAGAAGTGGTCAGCACAGATACAACTTTCCTTGTATATAATATGCAAATATACATTATCTCATATAATATAGATATGTATATGTTTCACGTGCCAACTTTTTTTTCTTGTTGAAGACAGAATCTCACTATATAGACCTGGCTGTCCAGTAACTTGCTATGTAGCCTAGGCTGGCCTTGACATCCACCTGCCTCTGTTTGCTAGGGGGCTGACTGCATTCAGCCAATTACATAGCCATCCCTCCAGGCATCTTTTGATAAGTGATCATCGTTTTTGCCTTTGACAGTGAGCTCCATACCCAGCCCCTGCAAGTGATACATTTCTATTATAAACAATACTATTGTC